TTCTACTTTTGCCACATATATAACAATCCGCTGGGTGCAGACTTCTTTGTGTGTTGCCTGGTACAGAAATTCCATTTTCAAATGTAACATTTTTCGCAGTGTCCCATCAATAAGGCAATGAACAGATGGTGTCGTATTCCCACCAAGCATCAGTAGCAAATATTCCTATAAGAAAATGCACTGAGGACATAAAGCGCTGATTATAAAACACTGTTAAAGTTCAACCGTTGTAAAGCTTGAGGGAGCAGGTGTTTTCTCCCTGTGGAGCACTGACAGGAAGAGAAAAACATGTATCAGACATTGGATTATACAGAACCGGGCTCACAGAGGGAGTCTAAAGTGCAGTGCTGCTGAGCTTCAACCCTCAGTTCAGCTGCAACAACACCATATGAGCTGCAGCAGCTTGTTAGCGTTTCTTCAAACTATAGTGAAACAAGGAAAGCTTTTTGCATAGAATCAAACTTATAACTGTGCGTTATCTTGACACAGTGTTGGCCGTTTTCCCATATGCAAGTAAAAGGAGAAAGCTGAGATAAATACAAATGGTTTAGAGAACTGGGTTGAACTCGTAAGTGCTCCTCTTCATCTTTGTCTGCCAACTTCTTCAACAGCAACATGTACTCACTGCACGTCATTACACAGAGACGTGCTGCAGAATAATTAAGTGTGGCCTTCAAATATTAGTGTTTATCGCGTTATGATAAAATCTCTCAGTGCTAATTAAATTACTCAATTGCTTTCCTAAGCATGCTGCTATTTCCTGACTATTATGCCTCTAATATTCTTGATCATGCAAATTTAGAGGTGCACATCATTCCCAAATGACATGCAGGGACATATTAGATCCATGTGATCTGTTGCAGTTTATTGATATTTTGCAATAAATTGTGATTCAGTCTCACAATCATGAACAAAGTGCTGAGTGCTAGGTCCCATTTCAAAATAAAATAACTGTCAACAGAGGGAGACAAGCGCCTGAAAAAGTGTCTGATGAAAAAATGAGAATAAACGTTGTAATCTCAGTGACAACATATGCAGTATTTATTTAATACAGAGGGAACAAGGGTTGACGGGGCCTTTGCGTTTGGCAACTTGTTGGCACAGTCACAGTCTCTGTCTTCTTGGTGTAAAACAGAATGTGTAATGTGTAACATGCGTAATACTCCCTGAAGGTGAAAAGCAAACTGAAATGCTTCTGTGACTGATACGTTTAATTGAAATTTTATTAAATAATTAATTAAAACCATTCTGGGAGCTCATTAGTATAAAAACTGAACATTTTAATCTCAGTGATATTTCTGAGTCAAAAGAACCTGATACATTCTGCACACGTGTAACGGCTTCAATGCCTTTTTATGATTTTTCTTAATGTGAAAAGATAGTTTAAGCTTTGCTTTTGCATCAACTGACCATGTAATAATATGAACAGATATACAGAGTAAATTAATACTGGATTTTTTCAGGGTGATCCCTGTATCAAGAGTTAAGAGTTAAATAACCATATCAGTTATTGTTTTAAAGGTTCAGCGTGGAGAGTTTAGAGAGCTCTAGATGTAAGCTTGAAAATTGCAACCATCTCAATGCACCTAGGCATGTAGAACATGCAGAGTCCTTTATAAAAATATGAAAGGGCCTCTCTACAGCCAGTGATTAGTTAGTCTACTCTGGGATACTGTAGAAACATGGCGACGTAAGAAGGTGGACTTGATGGAACTCCTCGTGTAGATACTCATGCATATTCTTAGGTAACAATTATACGTTTCTTAATTTCAGGTGATGAGACACTAATAATAAACACTATTTCTGAATACAGTAAATTGATCCGCATAAAGCATTTCACTCTGGATCTTAAATGTAACTTTACATTTTGATATAGACCTTAAATTTGTTTATTAAAGAACTGCAACCAACATATGTTCTCAGCAGATAATTAAGTTTTTCTTTTTTGGAAAGCGCTTTTCTACAAGCTACTGTACATTCACCTGTTTTTGTCAAAATGTATAAAACACTATACTCCTGTATATAAGTCCTGCTATTACATATCATTCACACACTATAGCGGAACATTTTGGAGGTTTATTGTGATTTTTGGTTGGAATTCACAATCCAAGCGACAAATCTGCAGAATCAGCCCGTCTCTTTACAATATATTTTAAAGTGTACGAGTCGTGAGCTCTGCTGAATGTGCATGTTGTTTTAAAAAATATTTGTTCAAACCACACACAGAAGAACAAACCCAGATCATGATCAGGTTCAAAGCTTGTTTACATCTTGAAACATTCCATTCAGAAAAACCTGAGGAAACGGCGACATCAAATTTGGATTCACGTAAAGGATTATGTAGTGTAGTTCAGTATTTATTGCATGAGTGGCAAAAAGATTGAAACAGCCAATGTCCTGATCCTATGAGCAGCACTTCATCTCTGGAAATGGACCATATAAAGCATTCAGCCGACGACTGCTGTCACTCAGGCCCATGCTGAAATGGATTGTGCACCAAGTGTGTCTGGATTAGTTGTTTTTCGATCAGTGGGGAGGATTAAATGCTATCGGTGACAGGTTAATGCATATTAATGTATTTCAGCTAAGCCTGAACCTTTGTCTCCTGCTTTGTTTTGGTTCTTGGCAGGCTGGCACTCAGAATCTCATGTTGTGTTGAATTTCAGTGGAAACTTGCATTTTCAATGACATTTTCCGATCAGAAGAGCGTGATGCAAAGCTGTTTTTATATTGTTTTGTGTGCAGGTTGATTCTCAAGTGGAGCCGGTGACCTTGTTATATCTGGCAACACAAACGCAGTCAGGCATTTTAAATGATACAAACACTCCCAGAGGTAAATGAACAGGGTATCATGCTCCTCTGGATTACAGATGTATGTCAGCACCCATGTGCTTTTCTGCCGAACCCACATGGTCAATAAATTCTCACTGTTTAAAAGGCACATGAGAAGCATTCAGCTCTCAAAGATCTCATGAAATGACTTGGAATTGACCTTCAGGACACATGGGATTGATTCTTTACCACCATCCTCATGGTAATTAGGTTTGCGTTGTTCTGCCCTGAATTATAAGTGAGCCGTATAGAGAATGTATGTCACACAAGAGCAATTAGTCCTTCAAGGTTTACAGTTCAGAAAGGCAACAATGGTTCCACAGGGATTAGAGATGTGCACGGTTCCATGTTAAAAAGCTAAAACGCAGCATCAGCATCCAAAACTGAGGATGTGCACATCTTTGTAAAAGGCACCCATTTGAACTGTTCTGATTAAAAGCTGTAATGGATTAGAACATGCAAAAACAACAACAATGCCTTCATTTCTTGTTTGGCAATGAAAATTAGTGATCCAACTGAATGCTTGCTTAGATAATGAATGGTGCTAATTCACGTGTCATTTACATTTATTCCCACTGAGAGGAAAGCCAACCCTTTACAGAGGCTGGGATACATTTTTTAGCTCAGCAGCTTTTTCCTCAGGTGGTGCAGCCAGGTCAGCAATTTGATTTGAAGTGGGAGTGGCGTGGAAGGCCACTGTGCAAAATTGAACCAAATTCACCCAGCAGCATGTTAAACCATGTGTAAAATCCTCCCGATGGGCTCAGAAAACGATCCCTGGCTGGAGCTGCTGCTCTGCCCCTACCTCTGTCTTTAGGGATGGTCACACTCGTTTCCCTGCACCTCTCACAGGGACCTTTGAAGGAAGAGGGATGTCTGGGAGCCCATTAACCTCCCCTGTGCCCGTGTACTGATACCCAGACGCCAGGTCACAACTGCCTTTTCCACACAGCGCAGTCAGGTCTTTCTTTTTGTTACTGCACATTTTCATTGCATTTCCAATGAGTCCAAAGCTGTTTTCAGACATGAAATCTGGAGGATGTCTGCAGAATAGGGTTTGTACTTTCTCCGGAGGTTGCCTTTCACACATGAACAACGCAGTGGGAGATTCTCCGCCCAGAATTGTTTACAACAACACAGAAATCTCTGTTGCAGCTGGCAGAACCAAGACGTTACTTATGAATTCAACTGTGATCACGTAATTTCATTTTTGCGTGTTAGATCTTTTGCTGTGTTCTTACGACAGCTCCTTCGGACATTCAGAGGACTTTTCACCAGGGGACTGGCTGCAGAAAGTCAGGTTCTCACTGGGACATTTGCGTTCACACATACAAGCCCGTTCATTAAATGTCAGGAGAATCTCCACAGTTCAGTGTACCACTGAAAGCAGCTCAAGTGAGACGCTCAGTATGCATTGTAAATGTTTTTTCCATGTGATAATAAGTGTTTTTGCATTGGCGCTTATTTGGAGTTGTCTTGTGTTGACTGCAGGCTTGTGTTTGTCTGTTCACGAAGCTGTTATGGCTCAGGGGCGGCTGTTCAAAACTGTTTAAAAGTGTTAAATTGACTCTGCTAGCTGTGGGCATATTTTAATACATTAAATCACTGGCATGGTGATTCTTGCACAAACAGTTGATTCACAGCGACAATAAACACGGAGCAGACAGTCTCATTGCGAGCTCCCTTCAGACCCTTATCGAATATTGGCCCTTTCTGACCTTACAGATCAAATATTATGTTTTTTAAACATGCATGGACTGTTATTATATTCCTGCAGAATGTGATCACCCTTGAAGTGTCCTTCATGGGTGAAGCATATCCACATTTTTTAAGCATGTGCGTGAACTTTCACTATATTCCTGCAGAGCGTGGTCACCCTTATGTGTCAGGGTGTGATTGTTTGGACTGTTTAACAGAGATCACAGCTATTTCTTCATCGGTGATGCGTCTCCATATTTTTTTAAGCATGTGCATGGGCTATAATTGTATTCCTGCAGAATGTAGTAACCCTGATGTCTCTGGGTGTGATTGTTTGGACACTTTAGCAGAGATCACAACTCTTTCTAGGTGTTCTCCATTGGTGAAGCGTCTTCATTAGTCAAAAAGCGTGGGCGGGACTCTTGCTCTCTGCAGCGAGTCAAAGAGAAAGGCAATAAAGGGAGGCAGGAGCTGCACTTTGCCGACGAGCATCTCTGCCGTCCTGTCTTCACCACAGTCATCACTGCTCCCCTCACCAGCCCGGATCTGCGAACATAACACACAGGGACTCTGGAAAAAAAAAAGGCAGAGTTCATGAATGTAACTCCGGTCTGTCCAAAAAACTGCGCCGTTTACCTGGATAAGTCCATCCCGACGAGAGGAAGACAGAGACTACCCGAGTGGAGTGTCGACGCAGAAGACTGTGAAGGAGAAAAGAGAAGAATATGATTGTCAAGCAGCACTTGGTCTTCATCCTTTACAGCCTCTGCGCAAGCGTCTTTAAAGGTGAGAGCGCTGGATGGTGCTGGCCGGGAGACGGGCGTGGTGTGCGGGGAGGGGTGGGGGTGGGGGGGGGCAATGAAGGTGGCCGCTGCGTTAAAGTGTAAAAGATGAGAATGTGGCGATGCCGTGAGTTCAAGTGCGCAGCGCAGATAAGAGTTGACGTGTTTTTTTGTTGCGTGCGATGCGTGTTTGCGCAGCGGTCTGTGGTCAGCTGTCTGCAGCCGGAGCCCATGCGCTGTGCCGGAATGCCTGGAAGTTGAATTGAATTGTGCGGCGCAACGAGGAGCAGAATGCGGCTGCACAAGTTTGCGTGCGTGTCGGAGAACAACTTGCACGGTGCCCTCCCTTTTGTGTGAAGTGACAGATGAGGCGTGAGGCGGCGGATGACTCGTGTGTATTTGCGGTGGCTCCGCGGGAGGTTTTACAGCCGCCGTGCGTATTGTCATGTTGCCAGAGCTGTGTCATTGAATGGATCGTTTCGAACGCGCACCGTCGCGACTATGTGCAGAGCCCCGATCTCACGCACGACTTTTAAAGCACTGATTCTGCAGAGATGACAAAGTACCTGGGGGCGGCGGTGGCTGCGTTTCGCTCGCGCTTAAATCTGTGGCGAACAGGACGCACGCTCCAAGAGGGTCGCATTAACTGACCCCTGCGTGCCATCAAGTCGGCGCGGTGAAAGTTGTGCTGCTGGGACAAGGTAGTGTAAGTGATGCCTCCCTGAAGCCATGGAGCAGCATCATCATCGGTGTCTCCTCATGACACTGCTCCCCCCCCCCCCCCCCTTTAACTCCCCAAAGACCGTCCCGCTCCTGGACATGCTTGCGCAGCCACCGCCCTGTAGGCGACCAGTGCGCAGATACATAACGCTTACAACAGGGGGAGGAGGAGAGGGTGAGGATGTGGGGGTATGGGGTGGGGATAAATAAATAAAAGGATAAATAAATAAAAGGATAAATAAATAAATAATCCCCACTCCCCCCAACTCAATAAGATCTTGTCCCACAACATATGGAAGGTGTTCGGACTGTTGACTCAGTAGAAGGGAGGAGAAGACATTGGTGACCCATCGGTGTTTATTCTAATAAGGGTAATTGTGATGCTTTAGAGTCTATTTGTGCTTTTGGTCTCACAGTTTGAATCAGTAGGAAAACTGAAGTCAGAGTGGCTGTACGTGCATGTGATTCTTATTCAATTTAAAAATTCAGTGTCAAACATTTTCAGGGGTGTCAAATATTGAATAATTTGAATAAAAAGTGTAAAACTCAAGAAGACACAGTTGAACGAATTGGTTTTTATAATATCAATGACCTGTAAATGTCTCTTTAAAGCTCGGCTTGGTAATCTTTGAAAAGCTAGCAAGAGCAGGCTATACTTTGATCCCACCCCCTCCCACCGGCCCTCTTGCGAAAGCTACGCACCTCAAAAACATAAGAAGGTGCACAGACTGCTACAAGCCGACCTTTCCGTGATCTGCTCCTAACTTCTGTTTATTGTCTCTGCTTCAGCGGTGTACGTCTCCCCGGCTGAAGACCTCAGTTGTGTGCAGTGAGATGACAGGCAGGCAGGTCGCTTAGTGACAGACGAGGACTTTTTCTCCAGAAGACATTAGCTATTGATGACTATCGGGAACGTGACGACGATTTCAAACATACCTTAAAGTTTCAAAGTGAAATCTTTATCACCTTTTTGCCTTTATGTGTGTTGTTTTCATCCGTCTCTTACTTTGGGAGGTTCCTCCCCGACACATCTCACTGAGCTGCCCATCCTGAGATACCATCAAGTGGTGCACATCCAGCTGTGACCTGATGACACATCCAACCACATCCTCCTCACGTCATGCCCCCATCACCATCGATCTCTTTCTTTTTTTAGCCTCTAATCCTTCCTCTGAACAGTTTCTTTTTTAACTTCAGCATCAAAAACTTTTCTTGGATGCCTCCACAGACTCTTGTCATACTCTTGTCTTCCATTACTATGGTGGCTTCCCTCTTCACCTCAGGCAAACCAATCGTTCCTGGTTGACGTAAAACGCATCGCTACCACTGTGCAGTGCGTAAATGTTGCCACAGACAACAGATTTAAAACACTAGTATTGTGCGAAACTGAGAGATTTACCTGCCACTGACGGGAATAATCGGCTCTGTGTGAACTTGTTTGGCAAGAGCTTAACAGACATTCATTTATATGGAACAGTACTGCTCTAAAGGTTTGTTGGTTTTCAAAATCAAAGCATGACTATGTTTTTGGCCTTTCTGGATGTTTCTATCTAGGGTCTAAGTTTAAACATTCAGAATAATGAATAGTGTGTGAAAATGTTAATATTTTGTTCCATCAAAACAGGCAGGAAATGGTTTATGCTCACAATTGACACAATATCGTTCCCTCAATATTTCTATTTGTGTGCCAGGGGACAGTTGGAAAAAAAAAGATGTTTTCCTGTTCAAGGCTCCATCTATAAATCATGGCCGTAGTCCAAAAAAAAAAAAATCTTGGTCTGCTCAAATTAAACCTACTGATCAACTAATCTATATGTCACCAGGCTTAAAATAAATCTCCATGTCATCTCTAGATGAACTAAACTGGCCCCAGTGCAGTGAGAGCATTTAACCTGTTATAGCCCTAAATGAATTATAAATAAACACGGAAAGCTAGTAAAATGTGCACATCCTGATATGTTCATACTGGAAGCCTCAAATGCAAAATGAATTGAGCATAGTAACACAGACATGTTTGCTCAGGGTTTATCGATGATGTGCCGTACTGCTTGTACAGCTGTGATACGCAAACTACGGCAAGGCAGATGCCTTCATTGACATGATGTCAATTATAAATGTTCAGTAAACTTTGAATAACGTAGACACAAGTCAACATTAAGTTGCATGAGGTTGAATTTGAAAAAACACCCATTTAAACAGGTCTATTCCATCTACTATGCAAAATATTGGATTGATTCTAGAGTGTAGCTCTTCTTTCCTTATTGATATAACACTGGCTGATCAACAAGATCATACCTGCCAAGGTAAAGCATATTTGATTTTTTCCCATAGCATCATCAGCTGACATAATAGTGTTGAGCATAAAAGGTAACAGCAGCCAGCTTGCCCATTGTTGGAACAGATTTCTGGTCCATGACATCCTGCCAGAGAGAACAGGCCACAGAGAGTTTCATCCAAGAGCTCTGCTAAGATAGTGGCCACTTCAAGGGCAACTTAAAATATTTATGCTACGTGGCTTTACTTCAAACACATGATCTAGGGGTTCCCAGGGCAGTTGCCCACAAGTCTGCATCTAAGAAACTATAAAGTACTTCCTGTGTAGAAGAGGTGGGAAGCTAAACAATAAATGAAAGAAGTGTACGCCTCCAAAAGGTCTGCACAATCCTCCCAATTTGTTATTAATATGGTAAGTTTCTTTTTCCAATCATGCTCTCTGATCAAGGTCTCCTGCTTAGTTCACAAATGTGCAATTATCAGATCCAGTTTTTTTTAAAATTCAAGTAAGAGTAGCAATTGTTTTCGAATATTCAGTTTTCTATCATGCAGTGTTAACAGGTCCTCTTAATAAAATGCTGATATGCATCCAGATCTTTTGCACTAATCCATTGCTTAACCGTTCAGCAGATTTCATTGAAATCCGTGGACAGTTTTTCGAGATGCCATGCCAAGACACAAATAAACCAACAAATGAGACTGAAAACACAACCTCCTCTGCACTTAATAAGGTAAATGCATCTTCTGTGTGATCGCGGCCTAATCGACAGTTAAATTGCAGAGCGCCACATCATACACTGCAGTTAAAGTGGTAGACAAGACTTCAGCCTGAGCAGCTTTCTTCATGCTCCGTAATGCTGAGAGTCATTTCATGCAGGCTCATCCTTCTTAGAACAACTACATTAAAGTATTTTTGCTTAAATGCATTGTTGCACTCTTATCTGCAGCTGCAGCCCATGGAGCACTTCACTGCTTAAATGTTTAATGTGCTGTAGTGACCCAGTGGATTCATTCTTATGTGTAGTTTGTTATTGTGTGTGCTCCGGCTCCTGCTCTGAATGTGAGGTCCCCGTTGTCCCATATGTGCACCAGTGGGAACTTATGTCACTCTCTGGAGTGTTGGTGCATCGCCACACCAGAGTCAACACAACATATTTCACGAAACGCAGCCAAAGCAGGCGCCTGACAGACTTGTCAGAGCCAGTTAACAGCTAAGGTGCCAGGCAGGCGAGTGATGCTAATTAGCCACGTGGTGTGGCTGTACTCGAATGCTTTGCAGACCTGTGGGCAGGTTGTACATTTTATGACCTGCTCGTTCTCTTTGTTGGCCACAGGTTCCCTGCTTTGGTCTTGCATTCCTTCCACTCAAGGGTTTCATAACCTTTCTTCTCGCAGTACCCAAAAAAGCCCCCATACCGCCAAGGGAACTTTTCTTTTGTTTGACCACGGAGCCTTTCATCATTTCTGATCTTGTCAGACATTTTGGCAAGTACAACCTGCAGGTGACACACACCACTGCTTAGTGGTGTGTGTTTGACCATTACATGTGGGGCAAATAATGCAGTAATGAGGACAAAGAGGAGAATAAATGAAAGTGTCTTCTTTTTTCCCCCTCTAGAATTTAATCAGGTAACCACACACGTCAAACCTACAGACACGGGAGGTTGAGGATGAATAATTCCCTCATAATGTAAATGAAAAATGTCCTTCCTGATAAGGGAGGGAATTGGGGTTTGTCATTAATAATGCAAAAGTATAACGTTTGATATTTCATTTAAATATTTGCCTTAGACTGGACTCTTGAAAACTGTAGTACAGGATTCAACCAAACCTGATTGAAAGTTGCATAAACATTAAGGTGAATAGAACTTGTTTACTTGTCAATGTTCCAGTGTTTCTCTTTTCATCTTTTTGCATATTTGAACACACATGAACTGGAATTCACAAGCAAAACTCTTTCAAAATAATGTTATGCCCAATGTCTCAACGAATACATAACACATCATATAA